ATGGATACGGCATTTGCCTGTAACAACGCCGTTCCTCTAACTTCTTGTGATTCCCCTCTAGCAATCACGGCAGTAGACGGACGCCCCCTAGGGGATGGAAATGTCACTTACCGCACTCACCAACTGTCAGTTCAAACAGGCTCGCTTCATAAGGAGAAGATGGAGTTTCTCATCACCACGTCTCAACACACCATAATCCTTGGTTGGCCCTGGTTACAAACCCACAATCCACTCATCTCCTGGAAAACGGGTAAGATTTATAAATGGAGTGAATCTTGTCAACAGAATTTTCTGTGTTCTGTTGTTCCCATCCAGCTTAATACCATTGTTGCCAGTTCTGAGACTCCAGAAAAATCCCTGATTCCCGATGAGTACAAGGATCTCGCTGAGGCATTCAGTAAATAGAAAAGCCACTAAACTTCCTCACCATGAGTATGATTGCGCCATTGAATTACTGCCTGGCACCACGCCCCCTCGTGGGAGAATATTTACTCTGTCTCAAACAGAAACAGAAGCTATGAACGCTCGCATAAAGGAGGAGTTGGAGAAAGGATTTATTCGACCCGTCTACATCACTGGCTTCTGCAGGCTTCTTCTTTGTGGAGAAAAAAGATGGAAGTTTACGCCCCTGCATTGATTATTTGATTTGAGATCACTGTTAAGTACCGTTATCCATTACCTCTGGTCCCAGCCGCTCTGGAACAACTACGTTCAGCCAGGTATTTTACCAAACTTGATCTCCGCAGTTCCTACAACCTCATCTGCATAAAACGGGGTGATGAATGGAAAACCGGGTTCTCTACCACTACTGGCCACTATGAATACCGGGTGATGCCCTTCAGCCTGGCAAACAGTCCTTCTGTCTTTCAAGCATTCATAAATGAGGTATTTCAAGACATGTTGAACCAGTGGGTCATTGTATACATTGATGATATCCTTGTCTATTCAGATTCCCTAGAGGAACACATTCGCCATGTCAGAGCCTTACTCCAGAGACTCATAGAGAACCAGCTATTCGCCAAATTGTCCAAATGTGAGTTTCACCAGACCTGCACCTCCTTCCTTGGATACATCATTAGTGCTGACGGAGTGGCGATGGACGAAGCAAAGGTAAATGCTGTAGTGAATTGGCCAAAGCCGATTACAGTCAAAGAACTGCAATGCTTTCTGGTGTTCGCAATTTCTATAGAAGGTTTATACGTAACTTCAGCTCTGTAGCCGCACCGCTCAGTTTAATGGTTAAAGAAGGCAATTCCAGAATAAACTGGAAACCTGACGCAGTATGAGCATTTAACCCCCTCAAAGCCCGATTTGCCTCTGCACCTATTCTCTGCCACCTAGACCCCAAGTTGCCCTTCGTCTTGGAGATAGACGCTTCGAACACAGGCATTGGCGCTATACTCTCTCAATGAAAAGTGACGTCAAACAAGATCCATCCCTGCACCTTTCACGCAAGCTTAATTCAGCGGAGAGAAATTATGATGTGGGCAATCGTGAACTCCAAGCAATGAAAGTGGCTATGAAAAAGTAGAGTCATTGGCTGGAGGGAGCTCGACACCCATTCACGGTAATCACCGATCACAAAAACTTGGAATATATTCGCTCAGCCAAAAGACTTAACCCTCGACAGGCTAGATGGGCTTTATTCTTCACATGCTTTAACTTTACAGTCACTTACATTTCCGGTTCCAAGAACATTAAGGCTGATGCCCTCTCCCACCTTTCTGACGAAGAACCAAATCAGGTGATTGAACAACCCATCATTTCTGACTCCATTTTGATGGCCCCCATCACCTGGGATATTGACACTGAGATCGCCCAAACTGCCAATTAACATCCCACTCCACCCGCCTGTCCCGAAGATAAAGTCTTTGTACCCCAGCCATTGAGAAACAAACTTCTGGACCATATACATGCTAACCCCATTTCCGGTCACCCAGGCATTGCAGGCACCCTCGACCTCGTTCTAAACCTCTACTGGTCGCCCCAGGTCCCATGTTGCCATCGATTTCATAACTGATCTTTCCCTCTCTCTGGGTCACACCACCATACTCCCCGTCATCGACCGGTTTTCGAAGGCATGCAGGCTCATTCCCATTTCCAAATTTCCCTCAGCTTTGGAAACCGCTGAACTTCTGTACAACCATGTATTCCGCTACTATGGATTGCCCGAAGACATTGTGTCTGACAGAGGTCCCCAATTTACATTTAGAGTATGGTCTGCCTTCTTCAAAAATCTCAATATCAATATCAGTCTCATTTCAGGATATCATCCACAATCCAACGGGTAAGTCGAACAGCTCAACCAAGAAATTAGGCGTTTCCTCCGCACTTACTGTCACCAACATCAAGAGGACAGGAGCCGTTTTCTCATGTGGGCCGAATACGCTCAGAACTCGCTAAGGAAAGCATCCACGGGGCTCAAACCCTTTCAAGTTGTCCTGGGCTTTTAACCCCCCCTCATCCAGGCACGTGCACACATAGGGCACCCCAGGACAGTGGGTGTAGCTGTCCACCAGAGACCTTCGCCTCAGACTCCCGTGCAAAAAACTCAGTCCCAGGTATGTGGGTCCATTTATGATTGTAAGACAAATTTCACCAGTCTCATACAGAATTAAACTACCCAATAACTACCTTATCTCTCCCACTTTCCATGTGTCACTGCTCAAGCCTTCTGCTGGCCCAACTGAGGTGCATAGGGAGGTGGCAGCCGGTGACCAGGGAACCCCACTAATCGTCATTGATGTGTTTGCCAGCCGCCAGCCCTTCGACTAACTACAACTGTGTTTTATGTGAGTTTGCACTCGCGTAACATCTGTGTGCTGTTTCTTATTAAACTCTGTTTAAAGAGCCCATATTATGGTTTTTTGAAAATAACCTTCCATTTAGTGTGTCACACAGCTCTATGTGAAGTGAAATGCCCAGCTAAGGCTTAAATCTGTAAATGTACAGTGTTTTAAACTGTTGATTCATATATAAAAGAGTCGACTCTTATTGCTTCAAACGAGTCGCCTTAAAACTGAATCATTAGGTGTTTCGCCATGACGTATGAACGAAACCAAGTTATTCACGTGCACACGCAAACCCGGGAAAATCGAAACTCCACCGGCCCCGCCCACAACAACAGGATAACAACAAAAAGAGGTAGACCACGAACGCTGCAGAAAAATCCGGTTGAATCATGTCGCGTAGACACTGTGCTCTTAAGTGTGAGGGAAAAGTAACGCTTTTTTCCCTACCTAAAGATGAGGCTGCGAAAAGTCAGTGGTTGAGGTTTATTTTTGGAAATGTACCTCAGAAATATAGTCCCAACATTGTGCTGTGCTCCCGTCATTTCTCTGACGAGAGCTACACCAATGTACACGCGTACAAAGCAGGATTTGCTGTACGGTTGTCGTTAAAGGATGGATCAATACCAAGTTTATTCGGACCAGCATGTTCTTCCACCGAATCACAACCTGTAAGTATGATTAAAATTACTCCTCTTGTTCACTGTTACAAGCTAAATATGTGTGTAGCTGCCTGTATTGTGTTTGCTGCATGCAGCGTGTAAGTTAGCGGTAGCCCTTTAGCTTACAGGCGAATGTTACTATTTGTTTGCTTACAAAAGTGCATAAAGTACGTTTATTACTGAATGTATAGAATATAGTTGTATATAACAATACGCTGTTAGACTATTGTATTGATTTTACAATAAGTTCTGGCATTAGGCTGCTGACCATATAAGTTACCATGGGTGTTTGTTTATCAAAGAGCGGTGGGCTAACGTTAGGTGTGCTAACATTGACATAAAACAAATTGTACTATTGATAAGTTATGTAAAACTATCGACACTTTGATACGATGTATGCAACAATCGTGTTGTAAATTGAAGATCACAAGCAGTATTTCTTTCTGTAAATACAGTTAACATTAGTTACTTGCAACAATGTTTCCGGCTTTGTTCTCTGCGCTTTTTTAGATGATGTATGCACACCTGAACTATAATGAAGCTTAAAATTTTATATTCGTTGTGTATTCAGTGATGTTTACTAAAGTACAGAGGTGAAGTTGGTTTTATATTCGCACATTCGTTTAATTAGAAGTCTATTTTGTTTACCATGTAACTTTATATATTAGATCGAAATTAGCATGCAAGTATGAGTTCTAAACAACATTAACCTAATTCACTGTGAACAATGACTTGGAGAGTCATTTGCTGCTAATATGTTTTTTCTATTTAGAATTTGCAAAGAATGCTTTTCTGAAATATTATTATAGAGAATGTCTGAATATCTGAACATAAAACCAACTTTACCTCTTACTAAATTGATATTTTAAATGAATTATGTTTATGCCCCATGTAATTTTTATTGATTTTTTTTGTCCTTTTTTGTATAGAGTACATCACAGCAGACCATTTCAAGTGGATGTGTACGTGTAGATGTGGCTTGTCAGACTGACTCTCTAGAAACTGTGAATGTGACTACACAAACGGATGATATAACAAAAACATCTGTTGGCACACAGCTGTCCTTAAGAACGCTGAAAGAGTCGCACTTTCGGAGTAAAGGTATAATTTTTATAAATGTTGTTGTATTTTCATTCAGTAATAAAGCTTTAATTTATTTTAATAACACTCTCTAAAGCTTATATTTGTTGCAACTAAACTTACATAATTGTCTTTTTAAGGATCACAGGCAACAGTTAAATGTGAAACTGTTGGCACTATAACGACGTCCTTTGATGTACCATTTGCCTCAACACCTATAAAGGCTCCTGGTGTCAGCACAATCAAAAGACCTCATCTGGAATTGGAAGAGGAGGAGGTGGAAGAGGAAGACTCAGACATATACTTTGAGACAGAACCTCATGACTCAACTTTTAAACCAGACGACACAACCATTTCACAGGAATCAGAAATGTCGTAAGTAATACCCTTTTTATAGGTTTATTATAAGAGGATTTATTTTAATAATTTACAAATAATTCTTTATTTACTAGGATTGTGGAAAGGCCCATGTATGGAGATGCAAAATACATTGTTTTTGAAACATGTTTGCGGGAGCTGTTTGCAACGTGTCCAATTTGCAAATTAAAGTGTGATACGGAGCAACACCGCATGGGCACATATGTTGCTTTCAGCCAGATTTGCCCCAAGTGTATGTACAACAGGAAGTGGCAGAGCCAGCCAATTGTTGGAAGTACACCGGTTGGAAACGTCCTCTTATCAGCAGCCACTTATTTTACAGGAGGCTCATTTATCCAACTACAGAAGGTAGTAAATTATTTTATCAATATCTGATTTTATGAAATCAAAATTGTTAATATTATCTATTAATACACAATTTTTTTTCTCTTGTATAGATTTTTAAGGCTGTGCAATTAAACTTGTTCCAGTATGACACATTTCGTCGACATTGCAGAAGTTTTTTGGAACCAGCAATTGTTCATAAGTGGAAAAGTGAGCAGCAAAACATAATAGCAAAGTTAAAAGAGGGAGGAAAGACTGCTATTGCTGGAGATATGCGTGCAGACTCACCAGGTACGTCATGCGTTTTTCTTAAGTTATTAAACCATTATTTTAGTATATTCTCACGTTAAATTTTATTTATGCTCCCACTTTTTGGTGTAGGCCATTCAGCCAAATTTGGAAGCTACACAGTAATGGACATGCAGAGTAATACAATTGTGGACCTCCAGCTTGTTCAGGTATGTAAATTCATATATATATATATATATATATATATATATATATATATATATATATATATATATATATATATATATATATATATATATATATAACATTGACTAAAGATGTATTACAATTTTTAAATAAACCAATTATAATATTGCTATGCATTTTTAGAGCAATGAGGTTGGAGGTAGCTACCATATGGAGAAAGAAGGGCTGAAGAGATGTCTGGATCTACTGGAGAACAACGGGTTAGAGGTGGATTACATCGTCACCGACCGTCATCCACAGATCCAGAAGTATCTCAGGGAGCGCAAGATAACCCAGTTCTACGATGTATGGCACTTCGAGAAGGGTTAGTATTTGACATTCTAAGCACATTTGAATGTACAGTTAAATAGGTTTTTATTCATTATTGTTTTTTATTATTCATTTTTCTTTTTAACAGGTTTGTTTAAGAAATTAAATAAACTGGGAAAAAACAAGGAGTGTGAATTGGTGAAGAAGTGGCAACGTAGCATCAGAAATCATGCTTACTGGTGCGCCACTTCCTCTACATCGGGACCAGAGAAGGTGGCCTAGTGGACTTCGCTGATTAACCACCTCCAGAATGTGCACACGCATGACAATGCTTTATTTCCCAAGTGTGCACATCCAGTTAGAGCTTCAAAGGACCCAAAGAAATGGTTTCAACCAGGTAGTTATTGTTAATTTGTCACTTTTATACACTTTGTGTTTCTTGCACTACTTATTGAATGAATAATTGGGTGAAGTTAATTCTACAAGAGAAAGTACTATTACTTACAGTTTCTAATAATGCAGGGTCACAGGCTCTCTTCAAAGTTGAAAGAGTACTGTGCAACAAGAGGGTGCTGAAGGATGTTGAGAAATTGAGTCGTCATTATCAGATATCTTCACTTGAGGCTTTCCACAGCCTTATTCTAAGATTTACACCAAAAAACGTTGTTTTCCCGTTCATGGGAATGCTGTGCAGGTACTCAAAATATTACAACATATATCAGTTTGCCTTTTTTGTTTATTCTCTTTGTTAATTGTCTGCTTTGATATTATAGACTGTACCTTGCAGCGTTTCATCACAATGAAAACGCAAACCGTCAACAAGCCACAACCGCTACAGGACAAGCAATGTACAAAATGGTGTTGCCAAAATCAAAAAGAGGGGAATGGACAACACGGGCATTAAAAACAGAACCAACCTATAGTAAGTTATAAAACAGTTTTATTTTTAGAAATAAATAAGTAATTTACATTCAATAAATATATAACAAAATTACAATATAAATTATAATTATAGGATATGTTGAGGAGCTACTGAAACTGGTCTTCGAGGTCATCATTATGGACCCCTCTCCATTTGTGGATGAACTGAAGAAAATTCCCATTCCCAAGCCCCTTTGTGCAGAATACGACAGACCAACAAAGGAAGAAGCCATTGCCCATCACAAGTCACGGTTCAGTCAAGAGGGGGTCGGAAGCCAACATACCGACCAGCCTGATCTGGAAATGCCTGCCGTATCCGGGTTACAACACAGCACGGAATTACGACACGAACACTCCGACCCAAGTAGCCCCAGCACCAGCTGACAAAACTGCGGTATGCCAGGTAGCGGAACTGCCTAAAAGAAATAAAGACTTTTAAAAAAAAAATCTGTGTGACAATTTATTTTGGGAATAAAGATCGTTTGATTAACATATCTGATTCAATTGTCATGATTTACATGTTCTTTTTATCCTATATCAAAGTGGTTGCACTAATGTTATTATTTGTGGGGTTAATCAAAATGTACTTACTCTGTTGTTCTAAGCCTTAGACGCCCATAGTCACATTGGTAAATGTTATAGATGTTTTGCAGTGTATATGGATTGAGACAGTTGGGTTCAAAGCCTGGATGGTGTATCATGCATGTTGGTGGGTCTGGAATCTGGTTAATCCTTCTTGTAACCTACGATGGTAAGATTGGCGGGGGGGGGGGGTTTCAGACAACAAATACTTGTATAAAAATTCATAATAACATAAAAGTGTTTGGATTGGCATACAACTTTAACACTCCAAAACAAACTGATATGATATTACATGTTTATGCATATGAATAAAAATGATTACATTTTGTGGACAAAACAATTTCATATGTGACAATGAATAAAAAATATATTTTTATAATAACTTACAAGAACATAAATGTTTGTAGTGGCATAAAACGTAAATCTAAAACAGCTTGCTATGATATATAGTTACATATGAATAATACATATTAACTTCAGTAGACAAATAAAATTGTATATGTGACCATAAACAAATCATAAATATAGAAATTTGTTTTCTTTGTTAACTTGTATAACAACTTATAATAACAAATATTTGTATTGGCATAAGAGGTTATTACTATCCAACACAAGTTGCTATACTCATGTTTTTACTGGTATAAAACATTAACACTCTTAAACACGTTGCTATAAAATTATATACATATGAATAATACAAATGGACTGTTCAGTGCTTCAAACGTTTGTATAGATGTAAAACAAATTTACTTCAAATTTGGATTGTGTTAGTTTATAGCATTCCTCACTATAGAAGTAAAGTTGGTTTTATATTCGCACATTCAATCCTATAGCAGTCTCTATATTGTTTACCATGTTACTTTGAATATTCGATCGGAATTAGCATGCAAGACTGACTTGTAAACAACATTAACATTGTCTAATTCACTGTAAACATTGCTGTACTTTGATAATCATTTGCTGCTAATATGAATTCCCTATTTAGAATTTGCAAAGAATACTTTCATGAAATTATATTATTACGGAGAATGTCTGAATAAAAAAAACTAACTTAACCTCTATTTACTCACTTGAGGACACCGCACAAATCGTCAAATGCTCATTTACAGCAGAAACAATACCTGTCGTACTTCTTTGCAGCAAAGATTTTCAACCTCACTTGGCATTTTGATGCAGTTTCCACATGTGCACCTACATAAGTTTGAGAGGTAATTACTTAGTTTGTCACGAATACAACTCGAAGTGACATTAACAATATTGACACTTACCATTGAGAAATGTCCTGCTCCAACCGTGTTTGAAGTTGACTCGCTTGGTTTTCTGCAACTGTGGCTTCCTCCTCATCAGATGCAGGTTCAAATTGATAGGGCAAAATCGAATTACACTATAAAAATCGCTGTGAATTGTTAGGATGAACTGTAGTCCAGAGATGGTAATGGGTGTTTCGTTTCCGACTCCGTAACATGCAGTAGTCCAATCACAACAGACTGGTTCATACGGCCAATCACCGCAAATTAGCGTCACGTAAAGGAGGGGCTTGGAAAAAAAGACTCGCTAGGACGATTCATATGGGAGTCGGTGAGAAAAGGAGGTAAAAATAATTCTATATTATAAGACATTGAAAGCGTTTTTTAACCTTGCATACATATCATCCTGTTGTTTGGGACTTCAAAAAGTGAAATATAAGCGTTCTGAGCCTATAATAAGGGCTCTTTAATAAATATACTGCAAATAGAACCCTCTGTGTCAGACCCTTCTTTACACATTGTTAGCTAATAACTACATTATTCTGATGCATCTGGATATACTAGACTTGTTATTTATTTGCTATATTATTTACTGGAGTAAATATATATATATATATATATATATATACACATATATATATATATATATATATATATATATATATATATATATATATATATATATATATATATATTGTAGCGAGGCAGAGGGAAAACAGCGGCACAACAGGATGAGTTTACAGACAAGTCCCCGGAGGGGTGCTTTATTTACAAATTGTGCGTTGTGTAAAAGGTGCTCTTCTTCAAGGTGAGGTGCTCTGGTGCTCCGGGAAGTAGGTGAAGGACAGTGAGTAGTCGGGTGAAGGATCGTCACGAGCTGGAGTCCGCTATGGAGAGACAGAGAGACAAGCATTAGCACAGGGAGTCATAGAAAGAATGAAGCTCATCTTCTCCTGGCGTAGGTTGGGCTTATATGTCTCTCTGCTTGATGCCGTCCAGCTGTGAGCGATCCTGGCTTGATGATGGTCCAGCTGGGTGAAATTAGCGACCAGGGCGACGTGGCATGTAATCGCTCGCTACATTCCCCCCCCCTTAGCGTCGTCCTGGTCCTGGGTGTCCTGCGGAGAAAAGGTAGAGTATTGAGAGGGGGGGTAGAATGTTTTGACAGACCTGCCCATCCTGACCATAGCCTTGAGAGCCCGTCTGCGTTTCCGTGGGAGGCCCCGGCTCGATGTTGAACTGTGAAGTTATAATCCTGGAGCGACAGGAACCATCTGGTGACTCGAGCGTTGTTATTTTTCGCTGTTGACATCCATTGAAGTGGAGCGTGGTCGGTCACCAGGGTGAATCTTCTGCCAAGGAGATAATACCTGAGCTCCAGGATTGCCCACTTGATCGCCAGGGCCTCTTTTTCTACCGTTACGTACCGGGTCTCTGCAGGGGTAAGCTTCCGACTCACGTACATGATGGGATGTTCTTCATCGCCGTGGACCTGGGAGAGGACCGCGCCCAGGCCCGAGTCGGAAGCGTCTGTCTGTAGAATGAAGGGGCAGCCAAAGTCAGGTGCGTGCAGTACCGGTGAGGATGTCAGTGCCGTCTTCAGGGCTTGGAACGCGCCATCTGCTTCTCTGTTCCATTGTATCCTCTCTGGCTGCCCCTTTCTGGTCAGGTCTGTCAAAGGGCTGGCTATGGATGAGAAATTGGGAATGAAACATCTATAGTAGCCCGCTAACCCCAGAAATGCACGTACCTGGGTCTTTGTGGTGGGTTGTGGAGTTTCTTGTAGTACTCTGATCTTGTTCTGTTGTGGCTGTATGAGACCTCTACCGATGTGGAAACCGAGGTATTTGGCTTCTGCTAGACCCAGGTGGCATTTCTTGGGATTAGCTGTGAGCCCAGCCCTACGAAGATCAAGGAGCACCCTCCGTAACCGGGATAGATGTTCTTCCCATGACTCGGAGTGGACGATAAGGTCGTCGAGGTATGCTGCTGCATACGGCTGGTGGGGTCTCAGCAGGATATCCATCATTCGCTGGAATGTTGCTGGAGCCCCGTGGAGCCCGAAGGGAAGAACCCGGTATTGCCAGTGCCCACCGGGAGTGGAGAAGGCGGTTTTCTCCTTGGCGCTTTCACTTAGTGGTAATTGCCAGTAGCCTTTGGTGAGGTCGATCGTGGATATGAATCGGGCTCCACCCAGTCGATCCAGCAGCTCGTCCACCCGAGGCATGGGGTACCCGTCGAATTTGGAAATTTCATTCAGCTTCCTGAAGTCATTGCAGAAACGGAGGGTGCCGTCGGGTTTGGGGACCATCACTATGGGGCTGGACCACGGGCTACGAGATGGTTCGATGATTCCCAATTTCCTCATCTTTTGGATCTCCTCGTTGATAGCCAGCCGGCGAGCTTCTGGTACTCGATAAGGCCTCTGCCGGACGATGGTGCCAGGTGGGGTGATGATGTCGTGCTGGATGATGGTGGTTCGGCCCGGTTTCTCTGAGAACACATCCCTGAACTGACCGACCAAGGCTTGCAGCTCTGCCTTCTGATTCGGTGAGAGTTGCTCACCTATATGGACAACGGGAGAAGTTTCTTCTGAGAAGGCAACTAGATGACCTGGAGCTGCAACCCATTTCTTCATCAAATTGATATGGTAAAGTTGTTCTCTTCTTCGTCCCGGCTGACGGACTCGATAGTTTACCGGCCCTACCCTTTCTACCACTGTATATGGCCCCTTCCAGGATGCCAAAAACTTCGAGGTGGTGGTAGGTATCAGGATCATTACCTTGTCCCCTGGATGGAACTCTCTGGGTTGGGCGGGCCGGTTATATAATCTCTGTTGGGCGCGCTGGGCTTCGGTCAGATGTTGTTTGACGATGGGCATGACTTTTTCTATTCGTCCTCTCATGTCCCGCACGTGCTCAATCACTGACCGTTGTGGGGCTGGCTCTTGTTCCCAAGCTTGACGAGCCACGTCCAATAGCCCTCGTGGTTGGCGGCCGAACAGCAGTTCAAAGGGTGTGAAACCTGTAGATCCTTGGGGAACTTCTCTGATCCCGAAAAGCACGTACGGGATCATGAGGTCCCAGTCGCGCCCATCCTCTGCCACCACCCTGCGGAGCATCTGCTTCAGCGTCTTATTAAAGCGCTCCACCAAGCCATCAGTCTGCGGATGATAAACAGAAGTTTTTATTTGCTTTACCTTTAGGAGGCGGCAGAGGTCTGCCATCAACCGGGACATGAATGGGGTGCCCTGGTCGGTCAGTATCTCTGCTGGTATTCCTACTCGGCTGCATAATAAAAACAGCTCCTTAGCGATTGCCGATGACGTGGCTTTTCTCAGAGGGATCGCTTCTGGATATCTGGTGGCGTAGTCGAGGATGACAAGGATGTGTTCATGTCCCCGGGCCGACTTCGGCAAAGGCCCTATCAAGTCCATGCCAATGCGGTTGAAGGGCACCTCAATGATGGGTAATGGTATCAGAGGGCTGGGGGGTGGTCGTTGGGGAGACGTTCTTTGGCAGATGTCGCATGCCTGACAATACCTCTTGACTTCTCCATCCAACCCGGGCCAGTGGAAACGATCTCTGATCCTTTTGATCGTGTTGGCTGCTCCTAGATGTCCTGCCATCGGGTGAGTATGTGCCAGTTCCAGAACCGTCTCCCTTTTGGTCCTCGGGACGACCAATAGCGTCTTCGTTTCCCCCCGCCTCTCTGCGACACAGTACAGCAGACCATTTTGTACAATAAAATGTGGGAGGGGGTGAGGGCTGGGAAACCGTTCGTTACCGTCTATGATCCGGACTTGTGGCCAGCAATGCTTCAACGTTTCGTCTTCACGCTGTGCTCTTCCGAAATCGCCACCTGCGGTAATCTGTTGGAAAAGATCATAGTACAGGTTAGCCGATGATGA